ATAGATACTACCAAACGAAACTTTTACTAGTAATTAGGGGCGAATTTTAGTCCAAGAAGAATAGGGACGAAAATTAACACCATACCACTAGTGCAAACAGTATATATATATATATATATATATATATCCAAGAAGACCCACGGCAGTAATTCGTGACAAAGGTGCTTCCACCAAGTGCTGACTAAGGGGCTGAATACTTATTCAATCAGGAAATTTCAGTTTATATATTTTCTTTGCAGGTTTTGCTGACATTCAATTTCCTCCACACAAAACTGTGTTAAGTTTGATCATTAAAGTTTTGAATAAAAAAATATTCATTAAAAAATTGTTTACATTATTTGTATTTCATCAAAATGAAACATTATTGATTGGGGGTGAATACGTTTGCAAAGCACTGTAAATGGAGTTCAGTTAAACAGAATTAATGTCACAAGTAGGGTACCTCATGGTTCAGTCTTAGGACCTTTGCTCTGTTTTGATTTATGTCAATGACAGAGATGATGGAATGGTCAAAAAATTACTTAAATTTGATGACGATATTAAGGTATTGGATGTTACTGGTTTACAAAAGGATTTAGTTCATTTAGTGAGTTGGACAAATAAATGGAAGATGGGTTTTGAATATATCATTACCATTACGAGTCCTAATACTACTAGTAGTACTAGTAGAAATGTCTCTAAATTTGAAATAGGATCCTCATCATTTACTTATACACTTATTATTCAAATGAAATTTAGGTATTCAAAAGAATAAAATTCTAGTATTATTATCCAGTTGGTCAAGTTAAAAGTAATTAAACTTGCTTTCAGCTTTAAATTCTAATTTCCTTAGTTAATGCAAGTTAAGCCTAACTAAAGTTAGTAACATCTTAACAAAATGAAATGTACTATCAGTATCACTTCGTCTTTAATTCTAATAGCAAAGTTTATCTTTTAAAGGCATGATAAAACATGAAGTGACTCTAAATAATCATACTGAAATAAAATAAACTCAAATACACACCACTTCAAAAGCTATTGAGTGTATCAAATTAACCGCAATCACTTCCAATGCTACCACTTCGTTCTTTCTCTTCTTACTCCCCTACAATTACATTACTTTACTCAAAACTCACCTAGAGGGCGAATATATAGGAATGAAATAGAATATCAATTATTGCTTATTGATTAATTAAACAATATCCGCAAAATTATACATCGTTTCATAAAAATATCACTAGAAATTTGTTTTATCTTTGGTGATTAATGAGCATTAATATTAAACAAAGTGAAATATATTAGTACTGTTATACAAAGTTAATCCGAACGATAGGTGATAAATAATCAAGGTAAAACACACAAATAATACCTCTCTTCGGATAAATACAAATAACGATCTATATTTCCGTATATATCTTTATTAGTTCAATATTTCGCTTTTACAGCAAGGTTCGGTTTGTTTTGAATTTCGCGCAAAGCTACATGAGGGCTGTCTGCGCTAGCCGTCCTTAAGTTAGTGTGATAGACTAGAGGGAAGGCAGATAATCAACAACACCCACCGCCAACTTTCGGGCTACTCTTTTACCAACAGATAGTGGGACTGATAGTCACTTATAATACCACCACGGCTGAAAGGGCGAGCGTATTCAGATTTCGAGTCGATCGCCTTAACCATCAGGACCGCATTTACAGCTACGTCAGGCGCTATCGCTATCCTATAATTTCAGAAATCATAAAATTACGTAAAATACGAAATTGCAGTACTCGTTACATTCTATTTGCCGATCAGTTGTATGATAACCTGTGAAACGAGAAGTATTTATTTAAGTTGATAGAATTAAAATATATTATTAGGGTGGTAAATTTCATAATTCTTTCCCGAAAAAAATCGTAAACTATATATTTTTTTAACTAATTAGGAAAATCCTATTTTTGCAAAAGGCCTCCACTAAATTCAATACAGCAGCCTAAAAATAGGACTTTTCAGTTATGGCAACAACGAAATTGATTGTGAAATTTGAAAACGGCTTGAACGACTAATGAAATAATCTTATTAAAAGTTTAACATAGTAACAAATGTACATTTGTTTTGTACATTTGTTATTGCGTTAAACCTGTAATAAAGGTTTCTGAATTACCTATTCAAGCCTGAATAAGGTGTATCAGTTCTTATTCGAGACATGAGAGCACTAGACTTATCTAAACAAACTACACAATTATTTTTTCGTTTTCGACCCTTCCATCACAAGCATGACGCCCATTTCATATTTTTTATTAATTTTACCACTAGCGACCAAAGTTTAATGTCTAGTATTTATTTTGTCATGCAATCGTCCGGCACTTTTATATCAAATATGAGGCTAAGTAATGAAAGGTAAGATTAGAAAGAAATTTTGTCTACCTTGCCCCACTTTTTCGGAAACTCTGGGTGAAAACCAGTCGCCCCAGTGGAACAGCGGTGTGTCTGCGGACTTACAACGCTAGAAACCGGGTTTCGATACCCGTGGTGGGCAGAGCACAGATAGCCCATTGTGTAGCTTTGTGCTTAACTTCAAACAAAAACAAAAGAAAACCAGTCATGTATATATATATGTATGTGTGTATTTTTAGTTGGTCTAATACAATTCCACGCTGAGTTTTTATTCAGATTGTTACGTCTCTGTTCGTTTGTTAATTTTCCGTACAAATTCTTTCCGAAGAAACTTTAGCGATACAAGTCCTTTCTTAAATAAACTAGTTTATTCTCTCTCAATACAACTTTGAAATTCACTTAATTTCCACAGTCAGGCTATAACTTAAACAAACGCTATAATCCACAACGAACGATTCGCACGCTTGACTCAACTGTCCACCTCTATCTCTGTCTGCAATTCAATTCCTTTGTTGCCGTCACTTCTTGGCGGTCTTATATACAAAAATACCGCACATCTAGTAAACGCTCGACCATTCACGAACCTTCGAGAATATCATGACGTGTTACTAGCGTCACGTGACTTCCGCTGTCGTAACAAAATAATGAACGTGGATTATTGAATATGCAAATAAATGTTTCAAAATCAATGAAAATCTGTTTATTCATATTGACAGCTATTATATAATAATTGAATGCTATAACATACGCCCCCCCCCCCCCAGTGAGACAGAAGTAATTTTACGAACTTAAAATGCTAAAATAAATAACAACAAAAATAGAGTGAATTCTTTTTTCATCAGAATAGTAAATTGCAAATGAGGCTGATCGTCTCAGGCTACTGGTCCCAATTTCTTGCTAGTCAATCATCATTATTTCTCGTGAAGTAACAACATTTAGGCGAAGTGACAAAATTACCACAGAAGAATGATTAACAGACTGCACAATTTATAGTTTTAAAGTTTCTTTCCTAGTTTATTTATCTAATATTTATCTTCGTCGGTCTAGCTGGGCCCCATTGTTTCATTTGTAAGTCTGAAGACTTAAAATGTTAAAAAAACAGGTTTCAATACTGGTTGTAAACACAGCACAAATAACCAATTGTGCATATTTGTGCTTAATGCCAAATAATACCCTATAACTGAAAAAATAGAATTCCCTATAATACTCAGTTGTTGTTCACATTTCAGAATAACCTTTATTAGAATGTGAAATACAGGCAAACCATGCGTTTCTATATTAACATAAATGGTTTAAAATTTTTCGCTTAGTCTGAATCTATGCATAACCGCATGGTCCAGAAAATCTATGAGATGATTTCGTTATAGCTACCTTTGTTCTTTTTCTTTTCTCCAGAAAAAATAACTCCTGTTCTTCTTAGGGTAACATTGCTGCAACCTAGCACATTGTGTGACAAGGTCATCGACAATAATGTCCTACATTAGCCAAGTAGATGAAATCTAGAGGTTATAGTCTTCACTATATTGAGTGAGAGCGATGAATTACATGATCAGAGCTCGTAGTTATGGGTGAAAACAACTTTCCTGCTAAGTAGGGCATTAGATTTACACAATTCTCCAAGGTTTCTAAAGTGAGTCAGTTGACAGGAAAGCAAGCCTAGAAGGAGATCTGTTAATTTATTTACAGATTCTGTAGAAAACGACCATCCTGTGTCTCATGTAATTATGTATATTGCATCTTTGTTCACAATATAAATAAATATTCTTCTTCACTTCATTTAACAGATTCAATTTTAGTTGAGTCTGCAGACACTCCATTTCACTTGTTGATAAAAACAATTCAAAACCTTTTAGAATTCAGTTAAAAGGTTTGGTTTCTCAACTGATTCGGTACTTTCCTTAGCTCATCACAAGCGTCATTAAAGATCTCCCATTTGTGATTATATCATCTAATTAGATGAGTGTAACATTCTAGGATAGTTCAGAAAGAACACATTCCATTAGTCATGGAAATGTAGCAGGTGCATTAGATAATCCAAATGTTAACACAATAAATTGTCAAAAACTATTTTCTGCAGTAAAGGGTGTTTTTGATCTTATTGCCTCATCAACTTACACCAGAGTTGCCGACCTTACAATTGTGTTTTTACTGATATACTAACAAACAGTAGGTTTTTTTTTGCTGACACTCTATTTTATTTTAACTAACATAATTAAAAGAAGACATTCTTTATTTGTGATTTTAAAAACATTGTTAAATTGTGATTTTAAAAACATTGTTAAATTGTGATTGTTTTACTGACTGTCCATAAGTTTGTGGATTAGTGCCAACCTTAACTCACACATTCCTATTTCTGTTCTTCAGATCTAATGTTCAAGTTCACTTTCATCTGTTTGAAGCATCCAAAGTAGAGGTAATCCTAGGAATGCATAGACATTGTTCTTTGTAACCTTATACATATTCGGGTAGTCCACAAACAGAACTTTGTGAATCCATCTTCTCCACAAGTACAATAGATGATGGTCAAGAACTAATATCTGGTTTCACTATTCCATATTCTTTTATCACTTCTATTTTCTTTTGATCCTCAGCCAGTTTAATAACTGGTGTCATCTGGCTTCATCTCCAGTATCAATGTTATGAGATATATTGTTTATCTGGCCTAAGCTATGAGGCCTTCTAGATAAGATATCACGTTATTCTACGAGAAATTCATGTAATTAATTGGCTTTAACACCTACACAACTCTGGCGATACAACTTCTGTAAGTGAGATGATAAACTCCTTTCACAAAAAATATTTGAAATCAGACTTCCTAAGTTTTGTGAGTACTTCTGATGTCATTTTACTTATCCCCTGTAGGTAAGCAGTAAACTAATGAATGTTAGAATCGATGGTTCGATTCTCTGTGATGAACAGAGCACATATAGTCTATTGTGTATCTTTGACTTAAAACAAAGAAATTCAAACTTTCAAGCTATATCTGAAAATTTTTTTGTATTGTGGTTTACTTCATATGCTCTGAGTAAACAACTGTGTAATTAATTATTTTATGAGAAAGTTTGTTTGTAGTTAAGCGCAAAGCTACACAATGGGATATCTGTGCTCTGCCCACCACGTGTATCGAAACCAGGTTTCTAGCATTGTAAGTCCGCAGACACGCCACTGCGCAACTGGGGGCATAACAAGAGAGAAAGTCAATATTTTCAAATTACTTGTCTGATAATCCCATAATTTTTGGATGGTGCTTTTACTTGTTTATCTGCAGCTTTAACTGATCCAAGTTCTAATGCCAACTGAACAACTTCCTTTAAAGATGTAAATCTACTTTGCTTTAGCTTAATTCAGTTCTTTATCCACTGTGACATCTATGAATTAGTTATGGGCCAAATAATTCATCATTTCATGTGAAACATTCAGAAAAGATAATCAGGAAAACAGTTATACATCTTCTACTAATTTGGTTAAGGTCTCGTGCTTCTTTTTCATTTCAATCTTAAACTTTGGTTTATAAATTTCTTTCTGGTTTGTCACTTTAAATATTCTTCCGTACTGGTCTCCGTCTCGTTGGCTTCTGCTTCACGTGGGGTTCATCTGCTCCATCAGGAAATGTCTTATTATCGGTAACATTAGTGGTAGTAACTTCATTAACGGCTTCACTGTTTCCCTTCTCAAAACCGGGTAGAGTTTCTTCTTGGACAGTGGCTTTTCAGGTGACACG